GAGAAGGAGAAGGATGAGAAGAAGGAGAAGGAGAAGGATGAGAAGAAGGAGAAGGAGAAGGATGAGAAGAAGGAGAAGGAGAAGGATGAGAAGAAGGAGAAGGAGAAGGATGAGAAGAAGGAGAAGGAGAAGGAGAAGGATGAGAAGAAGGAGAAGGATGAGAAGAAGGAGAAGGAGAAGGATGAGAAGAAGGAGAAGGATGAGAAGAAGGAGAAGGAGAAGGATGAGAAGAAGGAGAAGGATGAGAAGAAGGATGAGAAGAAGAAGGATGAGAAGAAGGATGAGAAGAAGGAGAAGGATGAGAAGAAAGATGAGAAGTAGGAGAAGGATGAGAAGAAGGAGAAGGAGAAGGATGAGAAGAAGGAGAAGGATGAGAAGAAGGAGAAGGTAGAGAAGAAGGAGAAGGTAGAGAAGAAGGAGAAGAAGGAGAAGGATGAGAAGAAGGAGAAGGATGAGAAGAAGGATGAGAAGGAGAAGGATGAGAAGAAGGAGAAGGAGAAGGATGAGAAGGAGAAGGATGAGAAGAAGGAGAAGGATGAGAAGAAGGAGAAGGATTTCAGAAGAAGGAGAAGGAGAAGCAGAAGGAGAAGGATGAGGAGAAGGAGAAGGATGAGAAGATGGAGAAGGAGAAAGATGAGAAGAAGGAGAAGGAGAAGGATGAGAGAAGGAGAAGGAGAAGGATGAGAAGAAGGAGAAGGATGAGAAGAAGGAGAAGGATGAGAAGAAGAAGGAGAAGGATGAGAAGAAGGAGAAGGATGAGAAGAAGGAGAAGGAGAAGGATGAGAAGAAGGAGAAGGATGAGAAGAAGGATGAGAAGGAGAAGGATGAGAAGAAGGACAGTTCTGTGACAGTTTCTGTCTATTTCTGACAGTTCTGGGACATTCCTTCCATACAGCGGTTTGAAACATTGTATCTATTTGTTTCCATAAATGACATTCTGCAGATACACTTAGAGGAGCGCTGCAGATACACTTTTTGCCTACTTCTTCTTCTTCTTCATCCTCATCCTCATCCTCTTCTTCTTATAAGGATGAGGATGAAGAAGAAGAAGAAGAAGAAGTAGGATGAAAATAAGATTAATTCCAAGCCGGCAAAATGTGTATCTGCAGCGCTCCTCTAAGTGTATTTGCAGAATGTCATTTATGGAAAAAAATAGATACAATGTTTCAACCGCTGTATGGAGTGAATGTCCCAGAACTGTCAGAAATAGTCTATTTCTGACAGTTCTGGGACATTCACTCCATACAGCGGTTTCAACCACTGTATGGAGGGAATGTCATAGAACTGTCAGAAATATGGAAGTATGGAAACAAATAGATACAATGTTTCAACCGCTGTATGGAAGGAATGTCCCAGAACTGTCATAAATAGTCTATTTCTGACAGTTCTATGACATTCCCTCCATACAGCGGTTGAAACCGCTGTATGGAGTGAATGTCCCAGAACTGTCAGAAATAGTCTATTTCTGACAGTTATGGGACATTCACTCCATACAGCGGTTTCCGGCAAAAAGTGTATGTGCAGAGTTCCTCTATTCTGCAGATACACTTAGAGGAGCTCTGCAGATACACTTAGAGGAACTCTGCACATACACTTTTTGCCGGCTTGGAATTATTCTTATTTTCATCCTACTTCTTCTTCTTCTTCTTCTTCATCCTCATCCTCATCTTCTTCTTCTTCTGAGGATGAGATGAAGAAGAAGTAGGATGAAAATAAGATTAATTCCAAGCCGGCAAAAAGTGTATGTGCAGAGCTCCTCTAATCTGCAGCTGTATCTGCAGAATAGAGGAACTCTGCACATACACTTTTTGCCGGCTTGGAATTATTCTTCTTTTCATCCTACTTCTTCTTCTTCTTCATCCTCATCCTCAGAAGAAGAGAAGAGGGAAGAGGAAGGATGAAAAGAAGAATAATTCCAAGCCGGCAAAAAGTGTATGTGCAGAGTTCCTCTATTTCTGACAGTTCTCTGACAGCTTCTTCACATGTACAGCGGTTGAAACATCTGTATCCTAAATGGAAACTAATAGATACAATGTTTCAACCGCTAAACATGTGTTCCTTCTGTCAGAGAACTGTCAGAAATAGCGGAGCTCACTTTTGCCGGCTGATCGGGAAATGTTCGATTCGCGCACCCGAAGTAGGCAAAATTTCGGATTCGACGCGAATCGAATTCTGAAATTCGACTCGAATTCCGGTTCGCCTGGTTCGATTTGCTCATCTCTATATATAACGATACAATGTATAATGGGATGTATATAACGATACAATGTATAATGGGATGTATATAACGATACAATGTATCTCTCTTCTCCATTCATAGAGAGAGAAAAAAACAAGGGGCCGGGCTGCACAGTGGCTTATCACTGTGATAGCAAATCAGAGGCTATCACGAGACCTGGAATCGGGAGTCCCGGGTCACGATCGTTAGATCGAGACCCGGGGCTCTCAGTGACATCGCGGTCTCTGTGCTGGGAGTGCGCTGAGTGGCGCGCTCCCAGCACAAAGACAAGTACGCAAATATGGCAAATATGTGGCCCCCACGGAAAAAAGCCCAGTTCTGTGAGGATGCATATTTGTGTGACGTTGGCATCAAGGGGTTAAAGGAGAAGCAGCACCCCAAAAGAGCATCACTATGCCCTCCTGTCAGCATAATCCCTATGCAGAAGATGCTGATTTCCTTAATCAAAGTACTTCCGGTACAACGGCTTCTAGTGCTGCCCAATCTGAGGTCTGTACAAGGGAATGCAGGAGAAGGATATTTATTTATTTATTTCAGGTACTTATATAGCACTGTCAATTTACGCATTACATATATATTGTACATTCGCATCAGTCCCCGCCCCTGAGGAGCGTACAATCTAAGATATAAAGACAGATTTATGTACACGGCTCAAAAAAATTAAAGGAACACTTTGAAAACCCATCCGATCTCAATGGCGAGGGATCTCCTGCTGGATCTCTATACTGACATGGACGGGGTGATGGGTGAGGAACATAAGGACGCCCCATCGTTTGATTATTGAAATTAAAACTATCAACCTACAGAGGACTGAATTCAAAGACACCCCGAAAATCAAAGTGAGAAAATGCCAGGCTAATCCATATTGCTGAAATGTCATTGCATCAACTCAGAATGGTCCTCAGTAGTCTGTGTGGCCCCCATGTGCTTGTATGCGTGCCTGACAACGTCGGGGGAGGCTCCTAATGAGACCACGGATGGTGTCCTGGGGGATTTCCTCCCAGATCTGGACCAGGGCATCACTGAGCTCCTGGACAGTCTGAGGTGCAACCTGGTGGCGTCGGATGGACCGAAACATGACATCTCAGAGGGGTTCTATTGGATTTAGGTCAGGTGAGCGTGGGGGTCATTCAATGGTATCAATTCCTTCATCCTCCAGGAACTGCCTGCATACCCTCATCATAAAAAGTAGTGCAGTGCTAAAAAGATAATAAATCAATTAAATATTACTATATTAAATACATAATGAGGCCGGGCATTGTCGCCATTGTCCGCAGACCATCACTGACCCACCACCAAAACGGTCATACTGAACCATGTTACAGGCAGCAGAACGTTCTCCACGGCTTCTCCAGACCCTTTCACGTCTGTCACATGTGCTCAGGGGGAACCTGCTCTCATCTGTGAAAATTACAGGGTGCCAGTGGTGGACCTGCCAATTCTGGGGTTCAATGGCAAATGCCAATCCAGCTCTATGGTGCCGGGCAGTGAGCACAGGGCCCACTAGAGGATGTCGGGCCCTCAGGCCACCCTCATGAAGTCTGTTTTCGATTGTTTGGTCAGAGACATTCACACCAGCGGCCAGCTGGAGGTCATTTTGTAGGGTTCTGGTGGAGCTCATCCTGTTCCTCCTTGCACAAAGGAGCAAATACCAGTTTTGCCGATGGGTTCTACCACTAGTGACACTGACCCGAGCCAAATGCAAAACGAGTGAAAAACAGTCAGAAAAGATGAGTAGGGAAAAAATGTCAGTGGCCTTCTCCTGTAAAACCATTCTTCTTTTGGGGGTCATCTCATTGTTGCCCATCTAGTGCACCTGTTGTTATTCATTAACACCAAAGCAGCTGAAACTGATTGACAACCACCTCTGCGACTTACCTGACCAGATCCATATCCCAGGAGTGTCATTGACTTGATGCTAGACTCTGATTACAAAGTCTTCCTTTAATTTTTTTTGAGCACTGTATTTATATTAGTTACATGTAAAAAAAAAAAAAAAAAAAAAATACATATATATATATATATATATATATATATATATACTGCAGTTCACCTGTGATTTTGCTTGCATTCCCAACATGCACAGTGAATCCATTCACATCTGTGTGACACGGGATTGTCGCATTTTGTTTTTTGCAGCACATCTTTGAAGCAACACCATTCATTTGAATGGGCTGCCCTCGACTCCAAAAAAAGTGCCAAGGTAGCTCCAGTATCTTTTTTGGAGGTGACTTTAGCATTCTTTTTTTGTCATGAAACAAAACACCCGTTTCTTTGGTGTGTTTGAGGTGCCATTAATAATAAATGGCACCCAAGTGTGTGTTGCACATTTTGGCGAGTTTTTAGTACATTATGAAATTGTGAGCACAATTGTGCAATTCCTATGCTGAGATGTGAATGGGGCCTCTTTACATCTGAGGGATGCGGGTGTTCTTGGAGCGACATCATACAATTGAATGGGCTGCCTCCGCTCCAAAAACGAGCCAAAGCAGCTTCTGTACCCCTTTTTGGAGCTGACTTTGGCGAGTTTTTGAATAGCGCGTTTTGACGGGACAAAACGCCTGTTTCTTTCATGCATTTTGTGTGCAATTAACAATGACTGGCACCCAAACACGCTTCTTAGCATGTTTTTGGGGCATTCAAGTCTCGCCTTGACTATTGTAACTCCTTCCTCATTGGTTGACCTCATCGCAGGCTATCCCCTCTTCAGTCCATCATGAATGCTGCTGCCAGACTCATCCACCTTACTAACCGTTCTGTATCTGCCACCCCTCTCTGCCAATCCCTCCACTGGCCTCCACTCAGTGTCCTCCACCCCTCTCTGCCAATCCCTCCACTGGCCTCCTCTCAGTGTCCTCCACCCCTCTCTGCCAATCCCTCCACTGACCTCCACTCGGTGTCCTCCACCCCTCTCTGCCAATCCCTCCACTGACCTCCACTCGGTGTCCTCCAGCCCTCTCTGCCAATCCCTCCACTGACCTCCACTCTGTGTCCTCCATCCCTCTCTGCCAATCCCTCCACTGGCCTCCACTCGGTGTCCTCCACCCATCTCTGCCAATCCCTCCACTGGCCTCCACTCGGTGTCCTCCACCCCTCTCTGCCAATCCCTCCACTGACTTCCACTCGGTGTCCTCCACCCCTCTCTGCCAATCCCTCCACTGACCTCCATTCAGTGTCCTCCACCCCTCTCTGCCAATCCCTCCACTGGCCTCCACTCAGTGTCCTCCACCCCTCTCTGCCAATCCCTCCACTGGCCTCCACTCAGTGTCCTCCATCCCTCTCTGCCAATCCCTCCACTGACCTCCACTCAGTGTCCTCCACCCCTCTCTGCCAGTCCGTTCACTGGCCTCCACTCAGTGTCCTCCACCCCTCTCTGCCAATCCCTCCACTGGCCTCCACTCAGTGTCCTCCACCCCTCTCTGCCAATCCCTCCACTGACCTCCACTCAGTGTCCTCCATCCCTCTCTGCCAATCCCTCCACTGACCTCCACTCAGTGTCCTCCACCCCTCTCTGCCAATCCCTCCACTGGCCTCCACTCAGTGTCCTCCACCCCTCTCTGCCAATCCCTCCACTGGCCTCCACTCAGTGTCCTCCACCCTCTCTGCCAATCCCTCCACTGGCCTCCACTCAGTGTCCTCCACCCCTCTCTGCCAATCCCTCCACTGGCTTCCCATTGCCTAACGGATAATATTCAAAACATTAACAATAACATATAAAGCGATTTATAACTCCACCCCGAATTACATCACTGATCTTGTCTCGAAATATCACCCAAACCGTCCTCTATGCTCCTCCCACGACCTCCTGCTCTCTAGCTCCCTTGTCTCCTCCTCCCATGCTCGTCTCCAGGACTTCTCCAGAGCTTCCCCCATCCTCTGGAACTCCCTACCCCAATCTATCAGACTATTGCCTACTCTGCTCTCTTTTATGTGATCTCTGAAAATCGATCTCTTCAGGGAAGCCTATCCTGCCCTCAGCTAATAATGGAATCTTCCACTCCTCCTACCAGTCCATCCCCCACAGTTACTACCTTTTGTACCACTAGCCCCTCCCTCTTAGATTGTAAGCTCCCAGGATCAGGCCCTCCTATCCCTCTTGTATTGAACTGTATTGTTGCTGTATTGTCTCCCATTATATTGTAAAGAGCTGAGCAAACTGTTGGCTCCATATATATCCTGTATAATAATAATAATATATAAATCCTGAATAATAATAATATATATAAATCCTGTATAATAATAATCACATCATGCTTCTAGTCGCCATTCTGCAGCACTGAGATGTGAATGTAGCTGAACACTGACTTCACCCTCTGAACTCTGTGCTTGTCATTGATGAGCATACAGGATCAGCACTGATAGATCAATCTACATGTATCCATCCGTCATGGTGAGATCTACTGTATCGGAAATACTATTTATTAAACTTCTGATCAATTTATGATAAATTCCCCGCAAGGTCCTGCACCCCGCTGATCTCTCCATACTAGAACGCGAAGGGTTATTGTGGGCGGAGCTGCCTTGTTATGCCGATTGTGGTGACAGCGGAATGTCGGTGACAACTGTTCTAATTCCTTGGAGTTTGTCATTCAGCCCCGAGGCAGCTGCTGAGAACGCCAACTTCACAAGTGTTCACCTGCCAGGTCACATGACCGCGTAACAGGACGCCAAAACTCCTACTGCAAACATCCGCATGTCAACTTCCCCGTCATTGGATGACACTTTCTAGGAGTTCCCTTTTCCTAATAAACATTAAATGGATGTAACAAGAGAGTAGAGCTGGAGGAAAAGGTCGGAGTCCTTCCATAAAGTGATTTAACCTTTTCACTGCCAGATCGTTTTTTCCCTTTTTATTGCTAAAATAGTTTTTAACATGAAAATGCGATTAAAAACTCCCTAATTTTTATTTATTTATTTATTTTTTTGAAGCAGAGGAGGCGTAGAATAAACTGATGGCAGTTTTCCTTTTTTTTATGTCACAGGATATCAGCGCAACTGTTTATCTAATATTTATTTTTAGTAAAAATACATTGAAGTTCATTTTAGGCTACGTTCACATTTGTGCATGTCAGGAAATCCTGCAAAATCTCACGCTTTCCTGACTCAAACAGAAACACGTTCGCCTTTAGCAGATACGTGAAGATACCATTAAAGTGATCCTAAACCCACAACAGTACAATCAGTCTGTATATGCAGTAAAGCATGCTTGTTATACTCACTGTGGAACCTAAGGGGTTAATTCTCGGCCTTGTGCATAAAAGCTGTTTGATCCGGTCTTCTCTGATCCTCCCCTTCTTCCACTGTCCCCAATCCATCTGCAGATAGAACAGAGCCTTGGGGGCAAGTCTGCACATGCTCAGTTTGGTGTGTATTGTTAGAGAGTTTTTTTTTTCTTGGGGAGTGCATGTGATCAGCACAGGGCCAATCAGCACTTTCCAAACAGAGTGTTAGGGGATATTCAGCCTCATAGGACAACCAGGAGAGAATGAAAACTTCTATAAGCTTTAACCAGTGCTCTGCGGGATACTGATAGAAGTCACAAGACTGCTCTATTCTGCTGATGAGAAAAGGTATTTAGCAGTTTATATTTATTAAAATAATTGCATTTCCATGTTGTGTGTACTGTGGGAGACCGGATATAGTGAATGCAGGGTCCAGGGAGACTGGATATAGTGAATGCAGGGTCCGGGGAGAGCGGATATAGTGAATGCAGGGTCCAGGGAGACTGGATATAGTGAATGCAGGGTCTGGGGAGAGCAGATATAGTGAATACAGGGTCCAGGGAGAGCAGATATAGTGAATGCGGGGTCCGGGGAGAGCAGATATAGTGAATGCGGGGTCTGGGGAGAGAGGATATAGTGAATGCGGGGTCCGGGGAGAGCGGATATAGTGAATGCGGGGTCCGGGGAGACCGGATATAGTGAATGCAGGGTCTGGGGAGAGCGGATATAGTGAATGCAGGGTCCGGGGAGCCCGGATATAGTGAATGCGGGGTCCGGGGAGACCGGCTATAGTGAATGCGGGGTCCGGGGAGAGCGGATATAGTTAATGCGGGGTCCGGGGAGATCGGATATAGTGAATGCAGGGTCCGGGGAGAGCGGATATAGTGAATGCGGGGTCCGGGAGAGCGGATATAGTGAATGCGGGGTCCGGGGAGAGCGGATATAGTGAATGCGGGGTCCGGGAGAGCGGATATAGTGAATGCGGGGTCCGGGGAGACCGGATATAGTGAATGCGGGGTCCGGGGAGAGCGGATATAGTGAATGCAGGGTCCGGGGAGAGCGGATATAGTGAATGCGGGGTCCGGGGAGAGTAAATATAGTTTGTGCAGGGTCTGGGGTTTAGTAACACCTCAATTGGAACCATCACACGTGCATTATTGTGTCTGTCAAAAAACATGGTGCTGCAGCTTTATGCAGTTTGGTGCTGCACAATTTTGGAAAAGGTTCAGGAAGTTCGTTTCCTCCTCTCGTGTGTCGAGTAGCCCATTTGTCAGGTCAGGCACTGATGTCGGGGGAGGAGGCCTGGCTCACAGTCTCCGCTCTAATTCATCCCAAAGGTGTTCTATGGGGTTGAGGTCAGGACTCTGTGCAGGACAGTCAAGTTCCTCCACCCCAAACTGGCTCCTCCATTCCTTTATGGACCTTGCTTTGTGCACTGGTGCGCAGTCATGTTGGAACAGGAAGGGGCCATCCCCAAACTCTTCCCACAAAGTTGGGAGCATGAAATTGTCCAGAATGTCTTGGTATGCTGACACCTTAAGAGTTACCTTCACTGGAACTAGGGGGCCAAGTCCAACCCCCTGAAAAACAACCCACACTATAATCCCCCTCCACCAAACTTTACACTTGGCGCAATGCAATCAGGCAAGTACCGTTCTCCTGGCAACCGCCAAACCCAGACACATACATCGGATTGCCAGACAGAGAAGTGTGATTGGTCACTCCAGAGAACACGTCTCCACTGCTCTGGAGTCCAGTGGCAGCGTGCTTTACACCACGGCATCCGACACTTTTCATTGCACTTGGTGATGGAAGGCTTGGATGCAGCTGCTCGGCCATGGAAACCCATTCCATGAAGCTCTCTACGCACTGTTGTTGGGCTCATCTGAAGGCCACACCAAGTTTGGATGTCTTTAGCTATTGACTCTGCAGACAGTTGGCGACTTCTGCGCACTGTGCGCTTCAGCATGCGCTGACCCGCCCTGTCATGTGACGTGGCCTACCACTTGGTGGCTGAGTGGCTGTTGTTCCCAGTTGCTTCCACTTTGTTATAATCCCACTAACAGTTGAGCGTGGAATATTTTAGTAGCCAGGAAATGTCACGGATGGACTTATTGCACAGGTGACCACCTATCACGGGACCACGCTTGGAGTCACTGAGCTCCTGAGAGCGACCCATTCTTTCACCAATGTTTGTAGAAGCAGTCTGCATGCCTAGGGGCTTGATTGTATACATCTGTGTCCATGGAGGGGATTGGAACACCTGAATCACATGATTGGGAGGGCGGGGCCAATACTTTTGGCAATATAGTGTATATGTCATAATATATGACGCACAATTGTCGTTTATGTACCTGTGTGGGGGTGTACGTGTGTTTTTGCATTTGTGTGTGTGTACGTACCGTGGGGTGGGGGGGCTTAATTTATGTATATGTTAACTTATTTTCATATATTTTAATTTTTAAAGGGTATCTGTAATCATATTAAATCCTATATCCATTTTCTCGTATCTCAGTTATTTCTAGCCTACTCCTATTAATCTGAACCATCGTGAAGTTCAGAAACTCATTTTGTGAAGACCACCACACATTGACTTTCTTGAATTCTGTGACATGTAGTCACTCTGCCCTTTGAGTAGGCACAGCCGTGTCACACATTTCACAGAGCCCGCCTTCTGAGAGGAGGAGTTTCTGGAGGCGGAGTCAGTAAAGGAATCACTGCCTGCAGGCAGCAAGGTACCATTGGATATGTAGTCCTTAGAAATGTTGGAGATACTGCAAAGCATGCAGGGAGTCCAGGGAGTTGTGGAAAGAGATGACCAGTAGACAGGTAGCGCTCACAACATGAAAAAGGGTTCTTAAAGTAAGCTTCTATTGGATTGTCAAATGTAACCATTGTTTGCATTGTTATTTCAATCCTGATTTTATAAAATAAATGTGTATTCTGTGATCATGGATCTCCTTTAAACACTTTTAATGTCTTTTCCACTTAAAGCAGAACTCTGGTTAAAAATTTCTTGTTTTAGCCCTTGTTGCTGATTTCCTATCTTCATTGAATACATCATCCATCTT